GACAATAACCTTATGATATTAAAAATGATAATTTAAGAAATATTTTTAATCTTTATTAATAAATTTGTGCATAATAGACATTATAGGAATACTTTTAAATCATGAATTTAAATCATGAATTTAAACATAATAAACTACGAGACGATTTGACATTCAATTTGTACTATGTTTTCTTATTATCTCTTACGACGTGACGTAGTCAAAGAGCCACAAGGGCTTTACTTAAAAAAATCAAGAAATTTCAAGAAATTCAAGATTTTTTAATTCAAGACAAGAAGTACAATATCAAGAAAAATATAATGTTACGAAATTTCTTGTTTTGAAAATCAAGACAAAACAAGAAATGCTCTTTGAGATAAGAAATCTTATCTTGATGAGACACTAATTGCTATTGAAATGCGACCGAGAGATCATCAATCATCGATCGTAATATAATAATCTTAACCGTGGTCTTTAATGCGCAGTATGATTTGGGCCGCCATGGATTTATTTCCGCCGCGCGCCAAATTTAGGACAGTATGCCATTGGCTTCCGCGTTTTGTATGCTGCGTAAGTATGCTTGTCACACGCGCTGCATACTTACGCAGCGCTTGCATCAACCGCCATTGATGCAGACGCGTAAACAACAGCGGCTGACAAAATTTAATTTTATCTTCACCGAAAAAAATAACACTAAAATAAAATACTAATTCCAATTCTAAACTATTCTAATCTGTAAAAAAATCTGTACTAAACATATATACATACATAAAAATATTAATATATAAATACTAATGTATGTATATATAAATACATAAATATTAACTAGATATCTTCCTATAATAGATATTTCCATGTTTTATAGATATTAGATTTTAATCACAAAGAGTTTTATATAAATATCTCTTGATAATAAAGTATTTTGCAGTATGTGAAATAATGCAATTTCTTTATAAAATAATGTCGAAATATTTCTTCGCTTTCTTTCACGTCTCAATAAATTCGTGACCATATAGAAAATTGGAAAATTCGTACAATATTACTCTTTTTAGAATATAACGTTACAGAAATAGTTCGTAGTATAAATTTTACATTTTGGGAACTAGATATTAAGTAATAATAAGTAACATATAATCAAAGAAACGAATTAAAATTGCTGATTTAAAATTGTTCCAAAAATTATGTGGCAAAAACGTTTGCATTTTATAGGATATATCAAAAAGGAGGGGGATACTTCCTTACGTATACTTTAATAATATTTGTATATTTTAGATACAAGATTATAACTATATATTGTAATATTTCTAATATTTTCTCTTTAAATTTTGCATTCACATACTATTTATTTGAAAAATTCAAAAACTTTTAGAAAAATGTTGGCACACTCTAAGCATTTCGAGAAAAGGGGGATTAAATTCGCTAGTCAGCGGTGTACGAAAAGAGAAAAAGAGGGTAGAAGGGATGCTCTAAAGAATGAGAGAGAAAGCGAGATAGTCGCAGGCGGACTATCGATTTTTTTTATACCCAAGCAGCCTATGTGCGAATAGTGGTCATGTTGGGAAGAGGGATCAGAGGGGGAGAGAAAGTTACACAAGGGCTGGCGTGACACAGAAACGGCCAATGTAAAAACACGCTGTTCTTTGTTACACACACATCTCATATTTGTATTACATAACACAATAACGCGTATTTGTTAAGTATATTTTCTTTTTATCTTTTTATCCTTCTAACATTATAATGTTAAAAATGTTCCACATAATTATCTTTCCATCTCCATCTATCCTGCCCACATGAAACACATTGGTCGCCGCTGGTATATTTATTTTTTGTTTTCGAAAGAATTAATTTTGAAAAGATTATAATATCATATAAAATGTTTTATTTTATATATTTATTAGTTTATTTCCGACTTTAATCTTACTCGGATTTATATCTCCAATAAATTATAATTTTATTTATTCTTATTCACACGTAACAAATTATTTTCATAAATTTAATTTATAAATTTACTTATGACGCACAAATTTAATATATAAATGCGAATTTATCGTTCAAAGTATGATGTCTCTATCTTTAATATCGCTTATTTTTGACAAATGTTTAATTAAGCGTTCAAGGAAAAAAATTATTTTACGAGTATATTACTAATTAACAGGTTTATCAAATTAAAATAATAATTGTTTTTAAAAACATGACTCTTTTCGGCTTATATAATTATAAGTTATAATTATTAACTTATAATTTGTTTGTTACCCTTGTTTGTTACCAATAATTTTTAAATAAATATAACATATAAAATCATTTATATTATAATTTTAAACACTCACCTATTTTTTTCCAACTCATTATGAGTCGTTCTGAAAATAAAAAAAAAAATATTCTTTACATTTTGCAAGAATAAAATTTACGATGAAAATCGCAACTCGAACAACGACAATAATATTTCTCCTCGCAGATAAAAAAATAAAATTGAAAAAACGGAGATTTATTTATTGCAAATTATAAAAAATATTGCAAAAATTTCAGATATAAATAATTTGGAATAACAATTAAGACTTACAATAGCACGTGTAGCAATAATATTTGTATTCGGTTCTAAATCATGAGCGATTAAACTGTTAATTGGCAATATTTTGGATTGTAGCACGCGAATAGCTGTTCCAAAAGTTGCAATTTTATGGAATGGTTTTATAAAATAAATGTCTCTTTATAATCGAATATACCATGTCGAAATAATATGATGTTTCTATTGAGGTATATTTCAGTTTTTGTGAAATATTTGCAATATTTCAAATTACAGCAAATATAAAAAATTAATAATTCGAATAACATTTGATTTAAAAATTGAATTAAAACCGTTATAGAAACTGCTAGCAGTCTCTAAACTGTATATTTAAAAAGATTCATGCAAATGCGATGTAAATGTTAACATTCGAAATATAAGGTTACAAAAATATTTTTAATTTTCAAAAAATTTGTAAGTTTCTATATGTCGTTTCGTAAAAAGATATTTTAACAGACACGAACCTGCTGCCTTGGGACTTCTTCGTCTTTGGCCTCTTTGTAATCGTCCGCATATCATCGGGTATTGGCATCGTTGAAGCATAGCCATGTTCAGCTTCTGTAATCAAAAAACGATAAATCAATAAGTAAAACATAATTATATATTTATATATTATATTATATACAAATTATTATAAAGCTGATGGTCTAATCTTTTACACGCTATAGCGCTCAAAATAATAAGCGCAAAATAAATCAACCCAAATTCATTTCGTCTCCAAATTATTAGACATTTTTTCTAATTACGTATCATCGTTTTCGATTGCAAATATATATAATCTTTGTAAAGCACAATTCTTTATCTTTAATGATATTTTTGTATCTTCAAAAGCAATACATACATTTAGATATGTACATACGAAGAAAACTCGCGACATGACCCGCAAGAGAATCAGTTTTCGAAGCTTGATAGTTTCGTTAGAGAGCGATGGACAGGCACGATCGAGAATAAGTCACGTTTTATTTTCTTAGATCGTTCCACATTTTATTATTGTTTCAGGAAAGTATCACGTTTGATCCAAATACAATTGCACTACGTTATATATTTCTTCTCAAGAGAATAATAAGCTTTGAAACGCGTGAATTTTCAATAAGTACATGCCATTAAATTAATCAATCCAATTCTTATCGAACGTATAAACATTAGAAACGTTAAATATAATGTTTATCTTTCTAAAAATAAATGTCAAATTAAATCGAGATAAGCAAATGCATCGAGACGAATTGAAATAGACACATTGGAATAAATTTGTATAAATAGAGACCAGGATTAAATTAAGACTGACAGACACTCTAAATCAGATAAAAATAGAGACTTTAGAATAAATTTCCATAAATAAAGAGGTCGCGGTTAAATTGAGACAAATCTTAGATCGATATATACTTTCTCAGATTTGCTTTCACAGGTTCATTGAAACATCAGTATTTTTACAAAAATATACAGAAAGTGTACATGTGAAATGACTCATGTCAACGAACATTTCGCTAATAACGTAATCGCTAGTAATGTAATAATTAGTTGAAAACGTACAAGTCCAACTATTTTTATAACGTCGTATGCGGTTTCATGATCATGAGATAATTACGTGAAAACATATTGATTCTCACTATATTCCTCGAATTTTCGACGATTTAAAAAGTCATAAAAAAAGGTATGTACGTCAGGACATAGACACACATTTCTCACATTAAAATTCTTTAACTTTTCTCTGATTTTCAGAGAAAATTTCATGATTTTTCCTGATGATTTCAGTAAGATTTTGAAATTTGTTATATTTTTATCTTGATTTTTGAAAATTGTCAAATATTTATTAAAAGAACAATTTAACATAATATAAATCACTATACTAATGTTGCTAATACCGCTTTCATTTGATTGTCAAATTAATAGTATTTCAAAATTGTATATAAGTGATGTACGCATATTAAATTTCTTTGAAGTGAAGAATTTTTATTTTCCAAAAAATTTTGCAAAATTCCTTGATTTTTTTCCTGATTCCCCTGACATTTCCCTGACTTCCTTGATTTCCAGTTTTGTAGCAATTCTGTATATGTTCTGTAACAGAACTATATTGTGCTTTAACGATACTTATCGAATAATTATCGAATGACGTTTATTTTATATAAGTAATCGAAACTTTATATAGAAACTTTATAAGTGCGATCATGAATACTTTAACATCTGAATTTGCACACGTAACATGGCATCGTCGAAACGCGTACTTCCTGACTAAATGTACACGCATTGTAATCGTTATTCGGTTGTTCGAAAATTATTTTTAAGGCTACAGGATATATAAAAAAACGTAAATAGTAAAACATAATTTGTAATTTGCTACTGTTTATGTTGCTTTACATTGTGTATTATAATTGGCTGATTCGCTTAATTCTGCTTACGCCTAATTTTTTTATGTGTCACTTTTATTGTGTTATTTTTACTTATTACGTTATTACTACAGATTTATCATTTTTATTCGTTATACAAACACAGATATGTCAAACTGCGAAATATCACGTCCGATTGCTTTGAAACGTGCGTTGTTTTCTTTCGAATTATCGACGCATTAAGAAAAAAAATTGTTATTTGACTAAATTAATTTAGTTCGTCTTTACATCTCACACAACGACGATACTAAATTAATTTAATCAAAGAAACAATTTTTTTCTCAATCATGCGTGAATATTAGACAGCTTTAATATGCGTGCAACTTGATGCATTCTTACACAAACGTTTGTCACGAGACAAAAAGCGCTATAGTCAACCGAATCTTTTACTCTTACGGGAAAGCGGGAAATTGATTGGTGACGACGCGACGCGACGCATCGCTTCTTGCTGCGCGGCAAATACGTTTCGCGTCGCGCGCGCGCGTGTGTGTTGTGTGTGTGTGTGTGTGTGTGTGTGTGTGTGTGTGTGTGTGTGCGCGCGTACGCGTGCGCGCGCGCGTGTGCAGGGGACCCTTACGAGGATCCCACGTGTGCATGGCGACTTCATTGGAAAACTCCCAATGTACATGTTACGACGCACGAAGAAACACAAGTACGCGCACGCGTTGAAACGATGAAACGACGTGCGTTGCACGCGGCGAGGACATCGCTCTAGTGCGACGCAGCGGCATTATAAGTGGGATGATAAAATGAGATCATCATCGCGCCGCGTACGATCCAATGCGAAAATAAAGATAGTCACGATCGGATACTCGTAAATCGTACGATTGAATTTTGTTCGAAAGAACAGACTGCACGCTGAGAAGAACGCGTCCGTTGTATCGAGAATTTATAATCGATGATCTCCACGATCTCAGGGAGGTTCAAAATAATCCTGATCTGACAATGGCTGCGTAAAACGCATGATGCTTGTAACCTTGTTGTTCGCCGAATGTTAAACAAGAATCAAATGAACCGTGCGTATCATGCACACAGAAAAATATTATTCTATTGCTAAGAAAATGATTGACTCAACTGACTTCCTTTCTTTTAAGTAACAATTATTTTTAGCACAGAACATTTTCTTGATAATCTTAAACTATATACTTATATATTACAAATTTGAGAAAACTTATTATTATTCAAAACAAGAATTCTCTTTTAAAGAATACTATAAAATTGATTGAAGAAGCGATTTTTTGTGTAATGAATAAACCAATTTTTTTTTTTAGTTTAATAATCTTTATTAAAGGATTCAGCTTACTAAGATTCAGCTTACTAAGAATATATTTTGAATAAATTTGATACTTGTGATATTTGTGATAAATTTTTAGATTTGCGAATGTATGAATTTTTCAAATATTTGACACAAATAATTATTTGCATATAATATGTATAATTTTCTTATATACATTTACGAAACGGAGTCAACATAGAATAATATAAAATTTAATAAACATAAAATTTCAGAAATGGAACTAACATTTGGCTACAATTGCGATAAATATATATATATCGCAATACGTCAATTAATTAATAAAACCAATCATTTCTTAATAGAGCTCTACTAAGTTCAATAATATAATATTATCCTGAAAAAAACTTCAAGAAACGAAACAATAACAAATGGACAATAACATAAAACTACTTCAAAATTTTCTAAACCTTTTTATATTTAAAATAACTTAAAAAGAAATATATCAAATTGTCATAGTGGAATTAAATTACAACATCGGGAATCGCATTTTTCTGAAATTTTTTAATTCTCCGAGTTCATTTGTAATCGGTTATTCTATAAAATTGAAGAATTTTATTTTACGCGAAATCGTAATTAAGAAAGAGGGAGGGAGGGAGGGGGGGAAGAGGAGGAAGTAAAAAGCGCGAGAAATTCGCACTCACCTCTTTCCCTTCGTTCAATGTACTCGGCGGCTTGTAATAGGGCAGCAATGCTCATATTTCCTTGGTTTGGAGTAATCCTGGCTGCTTCCGTTCGCGCTCGTTCCCCTTTCTTCTGCCGCACGCTCCCGCGCCAACACACGTGCCGAGGACGCACACAGCCTCACGCACAGCACAGCAGAGACAGAGAGACACACACACAGACACGCCACACCACACTACACCCCACACACACACACACACGACGCACGCGCACACGTGCGCGTACAACGGGCGCGCAGGCGAGAATGAAGGGGGAGGAAGGGGAGTACCGGCGAGATACGTAATCGTGATGTCTTCGGCCGCCGCGCCGCGCCGCGCCGCCTCGGGCGACTCCGCCGCACGTCGGCTACCTTCGGCCGCGTAACTGCGCGCACGAACGCGCACAAGTAAACCAACCGATGACGACACCGACGCACGCCGAACGAGAGGAACGTGCACCAATCCGCGCGGACGGCGACAGCGACGGCGGCGGGCAACAGCAGCGGCAACCGAGGCCGAGTCGCCGAGACGGAGGTACGCGGAAAGTTTTCTTTCTACACCGCTGCTTCTGTTTGATTCTCCAACGGTCTCTCCCTCGCCTTCGTCACGAATAAACAACGATCAATGAATATTTCCAGCTGGACTCTCTTTCTTTGTCAATCGTCGTCTTCGAGGGATCTCGAACGGCTTAATGAATTTTTTTCTACCAAGTTGATTCCAGCTTTTTCAAATAAGCTCAGCTTCTCTCAAATATCCCCCCTTCGTTTGGTGAATCGCGTCTCTCTCTCTCTCTCTCTCTCTCTCTCTCTCTCTCTCTCTCTCTCTCTCTCTCTCT